AACCAATCAGGAAACAGTAGAGCAAGTTCAGGTGATGAAATTATATTTTGTAAACCAATAGAAGCAGACAAGAGAAGAAAAGATTCTAAACCTGAACTAATGCTGGACAATGCTCCTCCTTACCTGAACTCTCTGATCCAGGTCTACACTCCCTGCCGCCCTCTGATCTCTGCCAATGAAAGGCGTCTGATCCAACCTTCACAACAGGTCCTAAGACGCTGACTAGACTCTTCTCATCTGTTGCCCCCCGGTGGTGGAGTGAAAAACCAAAATGCATAGGACCTACAGAGTCCCTTTGCACCTTTAAGAAAAAGGCTTCCATCATGCAACACCTGTTGGTTTGACCTGATAACTGCTCTCATATCTGGCAAACCGAGGGGCGTCCAAAACGACCGTGGGGGCGTGTCTTAAAAGCTCCTACCTTCTCTGGTCCAAACAAATCCAGAGCATTCAGGATCAGAATCTAAAGTTAGAAGGAGGACATACTGGCTGCTGCATTGTTGTCAGAGAAGCCAGCACTTCAACATAGCATGTTTCCTTAATCTCTGATCAGAGAGTAAGATACCTTTATCATCTCAGTCAGCAGATATCTTACATACTGCTCCTTGAACATGACCAGAATGCTTTGTGGAAAACAAGACTTCATTAGAAAGTAACTCCTGGAATGTAGCCAAGGTCAGATTGGACCAGGATGTTTTTTCCGCAACAGGACGTGTTCAGTATTAGATTCTGACTCTGACTTTTCTCCGCTGAACGAACTGTTAGTACACCATCACGACTCAGCAGTACAAAGACCCCTTTATTAAAAGGACTGGTGTGTATCAGCTGTCAAAATGTCACATTCAGGTTGGCAGGAAAAAAACAAACTGAAGTCAGAACAAAAATACATTAAGAAAAAGAACTCCTGGAGTGCACCCAAGGTCCGATTAAATCCATTTGACTTTACTAAAGAAAGGAAGGTCTACATGTCCAATGATGCAAGTGTGGGTGGGAAGTAGAACAACAGAGAGAGGGGGGAGAGAGAGAGAGGGAGAGAGAGAGAGAGAGAGAGGCAGCAGCTCTGTGGAGCGTGCAGAGTCTTTAATCTGAGACTTCTGGACTCTACAGCTGGTCTGAAGAGATGACAGCCTGCACACACTCATAACTACACATACACACATACACATGCACACGCACACACTGCTGGTGGGTTTTGGGGGTAAATGTCATGGGTGTGTATAATGACTGCTGGAGGCTGAGCTTTGGTCATATTAACAGCAGAAACAAACACACTGTAACGTCTTAATCTCAAGGACACACACACACACACACACACACACACACACACACACACACACACACACACACACACACACACTTGGATTAAAATTCTAATACTGAATAAGGACAATGTGGTCCATCCATGTTCAGGCCTACTGCTCTCATGGGAAGGATTTAGACCTCTAAGCACAGTCCCTTTTTTTTCTGTATGCAATAAAAACTGTCAACATTTGGTAAGGCTGGTAGAAATATTCCATGTTGTAAACATAGTTTATCAGTTTGCATGGCTGTAACTCTCTATGTTATATGGATCAGTGCATCATTGTCCTTATCCTTAGAAGGTGTCTTATTTTTGAGGGTCTGATTCAGGAAAGGATCGGGGCAGCTTGTGAACTCGTTAAACTCAAATGAATCAAAAAGACACAAATTTACAAAAACACACAGAACGGTCCAGTGCCCTCGTAACTGCACTGCAGAGCAAACAGCTTCTCTGTGCATCAGGGCCGATCGCACATATTTAAATGAGTTATTATGCAGTCATTTGCGGGGGGGAAATGAGCCCCCTTTTTATGCAAAAAAGGACTCATTGCATAACGCAGCAGTCACGTGCAGTTACAGTGCAAAAAAATACTTTTAAGTATTTTATATTTTAAGAACTCTCCCCTGGCCTCAGTGCTTCAGGAGGAGAGAGAGGCGTTTGGAGTTGGGACTGCTGTGTCTCAGGGATTGTGTGTTTTGTGTTTTGTTGAATTAGTTTTTTAGTTTAATGATTTAGATGTTTGTCTGTTAATAATAAATTCCTTCATTTTGACTTTGTTAAGGTCTTTAATGTCACTTTGTTAGATCATATTGGGTTACTGTATATGTGTTTATGTTTAATTTAGTTTTTAAATTGTGTAATTCGATTACACTGCTTAGTTGTTTTATTTGTCTCTTAAGAGGTGAGGTCCCTTGTATAAGCCTGTTGGCTTCTTGACCTCTCCTGACACACCTTTTATGTTTTTGTTAATCCTATTTTGATGTATTCTTTTGTGTGCAAATAAATAAAATAAATAAACTAAATAAAATAAATAAACTAAATAAAAATAAATAAAATACAAAAACTAAATAAAACACAAAAACTAAATAAAATACAAAAACGAAAATAAATAAAATAAATAAAATAAATAAAATAAATAAAATAAATAAAATAAATAAATAGTGCGCCATTGTCTTGTATGGAGGCTGAAGTCCTTCAAACAGGCGGCCCAGGTTCAAATCCGACCTGTGACTCCTTTTCCCACTCTCTCTCTCTCCCTGATTTCCGACTCTATCCACTGTACCATCTCTTCAAT